ACTCTGTGATTTCTCCCAGATAACGTTGTCAACCTTATTGCATTGTCCCAGTCTTCTCCCAGAATGAAAAGCTAATCTCTCAGATATTCCTGTGAGAGTCATGGAATGTTTTGCCATTTCCCTCCACGGGACACTTAACAAGGATGTAATGTATTCAGGATGCAATGTGTCTCCAGTACATACACATTTCAGTAACTCCATATGGTAGAAAAAGCGATTTCTGGTGTGCAGAGAATGTGTGTTGTAGACGTCAGAACTGAATGGTGGCTGTGGGGATTGATGTGTTGACCAACCACAGGTGGTAGTGTGAGGATATGGTAGTTGTTTTGGGAAGTTATGTAATGGATTTGGATAGGTATGTGAATTGGAAAGGTTTAGAGGGATATGGGCCAAACACAAACAATTGGGACTAATTTAGTTTGGGAAACCTGGTCGGCATGGATCAGTTGGACTGAAAGGTCTGTTTCTGTGCTGCATGACTGTATGACTCTATTAGCTGTTTCATAGGCTAGTTGGGCCAAATGATGCATTCTGTACTAATATACTATGAATTTATATGTTACGTAATTGTTGTACCATCTGGTACTTGACTCTGGAGCGGCAGGTAACTCGAGGAGGATCAATAAAACCACCATCAACCCCTTACCTAAGAAAGCACATACTACGTCCAGTGGCTCTGACCTCCATTATCATGAAGTGCTTCGAAAGGCTGGTAATGGCCCAACTCAACTCCAGTCTCCCAGCCTGCCTCGATCCCCTACAATTTGTCTACTGACAATAACAGGTCCACAGCAGATGCCATATCCCTAGCACTGCACTCATCCCTAGAACATCTGGACATCAAAGACACCTATGTCAGACTCCTGCTCATTGACTACAGCTTCAGTTTCAACACCTTTATCCCCTCCAGTCTGATCTCAAAACTCTGTGACCTTGGTCTAGGCTCCGCCTTCTGCAACTGGATCCTCAGCTTTCTGACCCACAGACTGCAATCAGCGAAGATAGGTAGCTGCACCTCCTCCACAATTACACTCAACATTGGAGCCCAACAAGGATGTGTCCTCATCCCCCTGTACTTCCTGTACACCTATGACTGTGTTGCCAAATTCCGAACGAACGCCTTTTACAAGTTCACTGATGACTCCACCGTAGTGGGATGGATATTTAACAACGACAAGTCAAACTACAGAAGGGAGATAGAGGGCTTGGTGACGTGATGCAAGGAAAACTATCTGTCTCTCAATGTTGGCAAAACTAAAGAACTGATCATTGACTTCAGAAAGAAAGGAGGAGAACATGCCCCCATATACGTCAATGGAACTGAGGTTGAGAGGGTGAAGAGCATCAAGTTTCTCAGAGTGATGATAACTAACAACCTGTCCGGGACTTACTACGTAGATGCAACAGTCAAGAAGGCACAACAACGCCTCTTCTTCCTCAGGTGGCTCAGGAAATCTGGCATGTCCATACATTCCCTCACCAACTTCTACAGATTCACCATTGAAAGCATATTGTCCGGGTGCATATGGCAACCGCTCTGCCCAGGACCGTAAGAAACTACAGAAGGTGGTGTGCACAGCCCAGACCATCACGGAAGCCAACCTTCCATCCATAGATTCTATTTACACAGCTCACTGCCACGGAAAGGCAGCCAGCATGATGAAAGACCCATCGCACCAAGTAATGATCTCCTACAACCTCCGCCATCAGGCAGAAGATACAGAAGCCTGAATGCATGCACGAGCAGGTTCAGGAACAGCTTCTTCCCGGCAGTTATCAGACTAATGAATGGACTCTCTAGCCTCAAATAACGCTGGTCTTGCTAACATTGATCACGCCTAGCTCTTATGCCTCTGTCTAAGTCCTTTTGATCTGTACATCCTTTGCTTACTGTGATCTGCCTGTACTGCTCATAAACAAAGCTTTTCAACTATATTTCAGTATACATGACCGTAAATAAATCAATAAATCAGTCAATCATCCTACTGCCTTAGGAGCATTGGCATCTGTTGAAAGGATTAAAATCACAACAATAGAGATAGAAACATTGCAAGATTGAGACGGATTTGGGGGTTGATTCAGTGCTATACTTTAAGAAGTGCAAGGTGGTTTACTGTATACATATGGGGAGAGTTGGGGTCAGAAGTAGGAAGATTTTTACCTTTGGGGCAATATTTAGAATACTGTATGCTGTGTCCTGAAATGAATTGTAAATCCATGTGGGACTTGCCAAACATGTCCTCAAGTTTGTGTACGCTTGAAAATGCTCGCATGCGTCTTGGATGTACACACCTACTACAACCTCACACATGCACACATATACAGACATGTGCACATACCAAACATTGGGGCAAGACCGCAGATGCCACCTGAATACCAGGTCAACTTCTCTGCAAGCTGATATTCCCACCAGACAAGAAATATGAGTAATGCTGCAGGGAAATTCAGCTCACTGATTCCAAAATACCAACTGTGCGATAGACTGAGATTTACTCCATCACTCCATATCTCTGAATCACACAGAGTTGTAGATTCCAGCAACAATGTGTGAAAATAGATCTATAGCAGACAACTGAAGAACAAGAGCATGAAAATGGAAATAAAATAATGATTGATTATCTTGCCTTCACGGTTTGGCAAGCATGTAGTTTTCTTTTGATTTTTCTCCACAGTACTCCTCTTCTCAGAGCAATGCTGTGTGCTGGGAATCTATCCCTCTGCCTTTTTCTCATGCCATATTGAATGGTGGGTGTCAATTGGTTACTTAGTTATTTGTGGCATCACAGCCAATTTCAACCTTGTCTTCAGCTGATGTTGCCCAACAGAGTTCACTGAAGGGTAATGGAGAATAGGTTTTCCCACACTACCTTCCCTCACTACCTGTGAACTGTTCTATCAGTTGTGTTGCCTGAATGACTGGGATCATCAAACTATACAGTGGAGGATTTAGACCTGGAGATTGGTATCTGACTAGTGTGAGCCTTGGCTGAAAGGTGAGCAGTTTCCCTCAGCTGCAAATCAGGTGTTTGTGTTTTTAAGTTAACAAGGTGTTGAGCTGGATGAACACAGCAGGCCAAGCAGCCTCAGAGGAGCAGGAAAGCTGACGTTTCGGGCCTAGACCCTTCTTCAGAAATGGCCTTCTTCGAATTTCTGAAGAAAGTCTAGGC